GCATTGTGCTGCATCCTACCAGTTACACCCCCTCATGTTGACTGAAGCCCTTATCAATCTGCATCTCAGCACTGAGTCTGCGTGAGCTGCTGTCTTGCAACACTGACTGACAGGCAGACAGGATGGAAAAAGCCAGAGAAGATAAATGAGCTCTGCCTCATACTCGACATATTCAAGTCGACTCTGGTGAGAAGAGCTCGTGCCTGTCTTGTTGAATGAATGTTTTCCACATCAAGGCAAATCCAAAATAAATCCCTAAGCATTAATTTAAACAAGTAACCTCAAGAAGGCTTCTCATTTCTTCTCAATTAGTTAAACACTTTGGGATGTATGATAAAGAGTCGTGCTTTCATTGAGAAAGGAGCTCTCCTTTCAAACACCAGGGAACACCACTCATAAATAGATTACCATTCAGGCATTATGTCCTATTTTCTCATGGCCTGAATCATAAATAAGATAATATTGAGGGAAAAAAAGCCTTTCTTGTATTGAAAACTAAATCATATTAGAGAGCATTGAGATGCAGCTCAGTAATATTGTACAGATGTACTGCTGAAGTCTCAAACTGATGCACCATCGATCCACTAGAATGCAGCAGAGTTCAAGAAATGCAATTCATATAGTTTGTCAGTTATATTTCAAAGGTGTAACTTTCTTACCAACTTACTAAAGTAATGTCAAAATATATTAATGATCAAAACAAGTCCACGAAGCAAGGAGCTGTTATGCAGCACTTTGTTTTACATTATATTTAATATTAATTTGTGTTTTCAAATCACACTGTGGACTCCATTAAACGTCTCCTACATAAAGACCTTTGAATCAAGGAGCTTTTGTGTTTGTTCTTTTGCTTTTGCTTTTTTTGCTCTCTGATCAAAGGGTACACATGGTGAGAGCAGTCAGAGGGCCTTTTAACTTGTCCACTAGGGGGTAAATGCAAAAAGGTGGGAACTGGCGAGTTCCCTAGTGTTTTGCTGAATGGAAACAAACAAGATGGGACATTAGCAAGCAACAGTGAGCAATCCAAATATGAGGGGCTTAATGGCCTTTCATGCCAGAACTAAAGCAAATGAAATCAAAAGAGTGTTTCAACTGATTATTAGATTAGAATAAATGAATAATTACGAACTGGTGTGAATTTGAAGCACCACTTATAAATTACAGTGTGGTCATGCAGTGATTCTTTGAGGGAAAGAAGAGCGTTTTGCTGGTAGATAAATGAAGTGCATATGAGGAGGCATTTCATCATAAATATATCGTGTTGAGGAGTAACGGAATACATGTACCGCCGTTACGTATTTAAAATACAAAATATGAGTAACTGTATTCCGTTACAGTTACCGTTTAAAAAGG